GCCACTTACCTTCTGTAAGCCCAGCTTTCTGACACATACAGTGGTGCTCATCATACTTGTGATCAAAGTTGTTGAGTTGAGGAGTTGTGAAGTTGAGTACGTGAAATGCTGCGTGCAAAGTGTTTGTGAAGTCAGGCACCACCCAGAGAAGTACCTGTGATACTTTTGTGCCTTTCAGAGATGGCTTTTTCATGGGGGTTTCTATGGATTGGGCTCTTTCCCCCATTGAACTCTGGGAGCTGGGGGAGCAGGGAAGGTGCTGAGGCATTGCTCTGCCTGAGCATGCTCATGCTCTGAGATGGAGCATGAGCACACAGAGAGCGTGAGGCCTACAGGAAGGAGAGGCCTGGCTCTGGATTGTCACAGAAGGCTTCTGGAGCTGGGCAAGGCTTGACAACCAGAGCTCCCACACACTCACCTGTCCTGTATGCTCCAGGGAACCTGCAGTGAGAATTCGGCTTAAAACTCTCAGAGCTCCAGTTTTTCCAACCAAAAAGTAGGGAGTATTGCTAGCCTAATGGTAGATTAAATAAGATAATGTGGACAAAGCACCAGGCACAGCATCTGAGGCACAGCAGGCACTCGGACACTGTGGGGCCACCCTCCCCATCTCCTTCCCTCATGACCCTCTGATGACCAGGGCTATAGTCTGCTTTGCCCCTGGGCTTCCCAAGGGCTGGGCATGAAACCCTCACCACAGTGCTTTATCCGATATTCCTAACTCTGCAAAGTCAGCAGACGTCTTGGAATAATGTGGAATAATATCAACTTTGGGCCAGAAAATGCCTTTTTTGTTGGGGAAAACCTTGACAGATTGGAAGGGACATTGGACTGAGTTGCACATTTGAAGACTTGGCTTTTTAAAAACAATAGCACCAGCAGTTACTGAGGCTTTTGTGCCAGGCACCACGCTGAGCGCTTGACATAGATGATGTCAGTTAACATCAGGACAGCCCAAATGTCACAGGGCCTGTTATTAGCTCCATTTCACGGAGAAGCATTCTGAGGCTCAGAGACGGTGGTCGCTTGCTTCAGGCCACAGAGCCAGCAAGTTCACACATCAATCACCACCACGTACCGAGGACCTCCTGAGTGCCAAGTGCTTTGCGAGGGGGTCTCGTGGAATGTTTACAACAACCCATTTCACAGATGATGAGGCTCGAGGCCGCAACTCAGGGAAGGTAAAAAAAATAAATAATTGCCTGAGCTGAGATTCAGTGCTGATCTGACTCCAACGGCTGTGTTTGTCTTCCTCACTGTTTTACTGCCTTGCTCCTGGCCTCAGCTGGAGGGGGAGCCAAAGGCACTAGAGGTGTAAAGAAAACATAGAGATAATAGAGATAGTGGCTGTGAAGACTCATCAAGTAAAGGTATGAGTTTTAAGGAGATTTGATAAATAGGTTCGCATTAGGGATAATTCGGAGGAACCCTGAGTGCATGAGAAAGAGCTTAGAACCCACCCTGGGAATGGCTGGGAGGAGGGAGGAGGCCTGCTTTTATGTAGTGCCAGCTGCCTGGTGGTGATGGCAACTGAGAGCTCGCAGGGGTTGTGCAGGGCTGGGCACCTACGCCGCTTCATTATCTGGGCCAGGTAATTGTGAGCCGAATTTGTGATTAAATTAATTGGACCACAAAGTTGCACCACACTCCACCACGTTTTGTACCTGATAACCCTCCAGTCATCTGCCTTGAAGTCCTGCCTCCCTACACGGGTGCTCAGCGCCTCCTCACTGGGCCGGCTGGGGCTCCGCCAGCACTCTGTGGCCATCTGCCCAGGCTGCAAAGCTCTTTGTTGCTTTTGGCATGTTTAAAAGCTTAATTTCTATTTTTCTGTTTGGAAATCCAGTTCATCGGCATTGAGGCAGCAGTGAGTGCTAAAATGGATTCTGATTGCTATCTTGAACGTTAATATCCTAATACATTTTATCGTCAATGACCTGTCCCCCCCCCCCCCCCCGCCCCAGCCACAACGCTCACTCCCCTTTTGCAAAGAGAGGCAGGCTGCTTGCCTTCAAACAGGCCTCCCAGCCCATCTCATTCTCTGCTCTCTCCCTCCCTGCTTTGCACAGATCGCATTGTGCTTTGCCAATGAAGCCCGCAGTCGTGGGAAATCTCTGAGTTGGAGGTTATGAGAAATTGTTTCATTTAGCCGGCAGGGTTTAATAGAGATGATCTAATCTCTAAAAGGCATACATTATTTAAATTCCATGCTCTCGGACAAGAGGACCCCTGATATTTGTGGCAGGGACAGGATTTGGGTTTGGCTCTGTTCAGTAGAGCTGACTGTTGGTTTTCCTGTTTGTAATTTAGTGCAGGGGCTGGGTTATGCCTGTGGCCGAGGGAGGGGGCAGGGATTCCTAGCGGTGAGGGTGCAGGAGAACATTCTCTTTAGACAGAAACCTAAAATCACAGATCCTTGGGGGCAGAAGGATGGGGAGAGTCATCTCATGACATCACCAGTTTGTTATCGGGTTCCCATCTGGGTCCCAAGCTCCAAGGTTCTCAGGTCAGTGGCCCTGTGGGGGGAACCTGAGAACACTCTGCAGAGGCGCCTGGGTGGCTCAGGGGGGCAAGGGTCCGACTCTTGATTTCTGCTCAGGTCATGACCTCAGGGTGAGATTGAGCCTGTATTGGGCTCTGTGCTGGGTGTGGGGCCTGCTTGAGATTCTCCCTCTCTCTCTCTCCCCTCTGCCCCTCCCCTCCCCCCACCAAAAAGAGAACTCTGCATTCCCTCACTCCCTGCCCTGGCAGAGTACCTGCAGTGTCATCAGGGAACTAAAATTTTGAGAGAAATCTTAAACACTCTCAACCACTAAAAAGACTGGGCATGGAAATACAGTGGGTCTTGTGACTGTCCTGGGGAACCTGGACGGTGAGTGTCATGAGATGCTGGGGGAGGCACCTGGAGAAAATCAGACCCAAGTGAGTTTTTTTTTTTTTTTTCTTAGAGCGAGAATGTGGCGATCCCCCTCCCACCTCATTTGCATGTCACGTTAGTACAAATCACAGGCCTGCCTGCCTTGCTGGAGATGGGGCCTTGGAGGAGCAAATGACCCCAGAATAGGCTCTCAGAGTTCTTCTTCTTTTTTTTTTTAAGATTGTATTTATTTATTTATTTATTTATTTATTTATTTATTTATTTATTTATTTATTTATTTATTTATTTATTTATGAGAGATACACAGAGAAAGGCAGAGATGTAGGCAGAGGGAGAGGCAGGCTCCCTGTGGGGAGCCTGATGTGGGACTCGATCCCAGGACCCTGGGATCACACCCTGAGCCCAAGGCAGATGCTCAACCACTGAGTCTCTCAGGTGTCCCAGCTCTCATAGTTCTGAACATAAAGTCTTTTCCCCTCCACGAAGGTTTATTGGGTGTCTCCTAACTAATGGACAGTGAGGTGAGCTCTGGGTTTACAAATATAATTCTCATCATCTCTGCCTAGCAGAGGAGATACACATGGACAATGTATTATAGTTTATGAGGAGCTGTGGTTCAGATATGCATGAGGACCGTAAGGAGCACAAATGAAGGGATAATTAATTCTGACTGGGAATATTTGGGAAGGCTTCAGAGAGGAGGTGATAATTGACCTCAAGCTTGAGTGAGAAGGACGTGTTCACCAGACTGACCCTTTCTAAGTGGTGCTGGCTGAATGTGTGTGCCTGTGCTCCGCTGGGACAATGAGAAGGATAAGGAGGGGTATGGTTCCTGCCCTCAAGAAACTCACAGCTTGCTGGGGAGACAAGCCTGGCACGTAGGAGCTAATTAAAGCTCTGCACAGACAGATGGAATTGTGGAGGCGAGGATAGGCCACCGAGGGTACTTGGTGATCCAGGGTTTCCAGAGTTACTACTCTCTCGTGGACAACACAGTTGCTGTAAGGATAGTTCAGACCCTGCAGAGACGTCAACTTTAAGAGGCCCAGCCATTCTGGCTTTTCTGATCAGCCTGGCTCTGTATAGAAGCAGCTAGTTGGACTTGGAGGTGAGCTGGGAGCAAGTGAGGGTGGGTGGAGAAGGTTGATGATAAGAATTTGGTGGTGTTGGCTCACTCTTTACAGCCCCCGTATGATCTGGGGTTTGCAAAACATGTGCCGACACACCACCTGAGCGCAGGCACCCCTCAGTGTCCCATGAGCACCGCACACATTCCCAGCCTTTGCTTATGCTGAGTCTTCCACCTTGAATGACTCCCCTCTCTTGTCTTCGTGAAGTCTTCCCAGATTTGCCCTTCTACTCAGATTTCAGACTCACCAGGTACTTTATCAGCGATCCTCTGCCGCTCATCATGAAGTTGGGTTCAGCATTGTTCAATGTTTTTCAACTCCCCAGTGAGACTGTAAACACCTTCAGAGTGTGAATAGCATCTTATGCTTTTCTTTCCTCCCCTGTGAACAATTTGTGTAGTCTAAGGAATATGGGTTTCTTTAGAATCATTGAATCTCAGCATTGCCACTTACCCCCCAATTTTGAACTCAGCTTCCTTTTCTGTAAAATGGCAAAACCCAGGGTTTCTCAGCGTTGACACTGTTGGCATTCCAGGGCTGGATAATTCTTCATTGTGGGGACCATCCTGTCTCCACTGTAGGACGCTTAACAGAATCCCTAGCTTCCACCCATGAGATGCCAGTGGCAGCCCTCCGTTTCCAGTCATGACGATCAAGAACTCCTCTAGATATTTTTTGCGTCCCAGAAAGGTTCCCCGTGTGCAGGTGCTCCCCTGTGCCAGGTTTTCCCTGCAGTTGAGAACTACTGGGATGACAGTACCTATTGGGTCGGTCTCAGACCTCGTAGTACTGCATCCAGAACATACTAGACATTCCATAAATGCCCTTTCCCTTGCTTCCTGATTCCCCCGGCACCTGACATACTACACAGGTTGATGGATTGGACGGAGCTGTGACTCTAAGTTATAGCAGTTTGGGGTGGAAAACTCATGGGACTCTTTGGTTGCCCCCACCATGCACTAACAGAGCCACTGTCATTTTCTTAATTGCAGATTGATCTGGAGCCAGAAGGAAGAGTGTATGTGATCATTGATCTGTCGGGGTCATCAGGTGAAGGTAGGACAATGTGACCTCTCCTCATTGCTCTCTTCCATTGACCCTTTGTCTTTTGGTGTCTCTCTTCCCTCTTGGGCTGGAACATCTTGCCGTGACATTTAATTAATTGGCACACTTGAAAGGAAAAGGTTATTTTGAAGATGCTTACGCCTCTGTACCAAAAAGGACCAGCCATCTGTTAACTTTGGTGGAGCAGAGGGAGGATTTTTGCCTTACCGGGCGAGGCCAATAGAGCAGGCGTTCTTGCACGCCGGTGCACACGGTGGGCTTCAGCGGAGCGGCAGCCTCTCCCGGGAGGCTCGCGTGGGGTGCGTGTGAGTGCAGCGGGAAGGAAGTCAAACCAGTTGGTCTAACGGTATTCAGAAATGAAACAAATAAGGTGTCAAATTTCAGAACCTTATTTTTTTAGAGCTTTTATAGAAGTGTTACTTCTTTTTACAGTTCCCCACTCAGGCAAAAGCACTGCTTCTGGGGAGAGATAATGGGGTGAGGGAATGTCTGCTTCCCACTGGCTGATGAGACAGGGTATAAATGTTCTCTGATGGTCGGATTTTCCTTCTTTCTTCTTATATCCTCTTCTCTCAATCCTGTCTTGGCCCACTTACTACCTTTAAAGGCTTGCCAGGTGGTGAGGACTGAGCAGTCAGAGGGGAAGGGAATTCTGGGAAGGAAGCCTGGTCTGCACAGAACAGGGAGATAGTGGCAGATGCAGGCTCTCAGGAGGCGAGGAGTCAGGACTGAGATTTAGTGGGGACCATCTTTCCTCCCCTCTCTCTGTGCGCAGGAGGACAGAACAGTTGGCTCTAATGTCATGGCAGAAAGATGGGAAGACCAAGGCTGGTTCCTCTTGGCAATGAGAAAAAATGGGACGTAGGGGTTGTGGCAGTCTTTAGGGAATGACAGTCAGCTCCCTTAGTTCCTGATTGGGAAGACTGGGGCCTTTTACAGCACCTCTTGAGAATGCTGGAGATCACAAACACGGAGTCACAACACCACGTGGTGTCCGCTGCGTTAGGGGTGAAACTCTAGCTTACGTAAGGTTCAGTAATGGGAGGAGAGATTATGTCCACAAATTGAAAGGAGTGGGTCAGGCAGTGTGCTGACTGGGTGCCTGATGATTTTCATTTGGCTAATTTATCACCCATTTTCAACAGGTGTTCAGAATAATTCAATAATTGTGCGTCTATGGGGCTTATAATAGAATTCAGTCTTCTTTGAATAGATCTCAATTATTTGGCCTAGGTTTAAAACTTTAAACATCCTTCCAGAATTAGTCTCGTACATTTTCTTCTCTTTGTTGCGATTACATTTTGGTGTTTCCAGCTTTCCTTCTTACCCTCAGCTCTGAGCAGCCCAGAATAGAATCTGTTGTAGAAGATTCGGGGATTTAGCAATATTTCGTATGAAGTATTTAAGATGTGTCAAAGGGCTTTAAAGAGTAATAAAATGAGCACCAGTGTACCGACTACCCAGATTAAGAAATAAAGCAACCATTAAGGTGAAATTTTGCACTTCTTTTAACATAGCATGGGATCCCCAATTCACCAGGTTTAAAAGTATTACAATGGCCTCCTGATTGTAGATATTGGTGAAACATTCAATGAGCAAAATCAATCCCCCTTTATCCTTACATAAATTACATACATTATATGCAACAGGATAATTAATTAAATGTGCATTTCCTGTGCTAAGATGCTGGACAACCAATAGGAGGCTTGGACTATTTTTTTTTTCTTTGAAAAGATTAGCAACTTTTGAAATTACAGAGGACATCCTTTTTTTACATTAGAGAGAAAGGATATGCTGGAATGAATGAATAAATAAATCAGAAGCAATTGATTTTTTTTTCTCCTTGCTTCTATGGCTTATTGCATGTGAATGGCCAAGGCAATTTTCATTGGGCTGAATTCTTAGTGTATTTTTTTTATCTCTTTCATCTAAAGAAAATAGAGTTTACTTCAGAAATGCTGACACACGCCAGACTCTGTAAAGTGCTAGCATGTGTTGCTCTGACGAAAAGGAAAACTTTTTCTGCCCTTTTTCTCTCACAGTTCCTGGATTTGGGATTCTTTCTCTGGATGGTGGGAAAGACTTCGAGCAATCTCTTTTTGTAGGAGCTGATCTTGTTGCATTCTGTTTGTGTTCTCTACATTCATTTGGCTGGTCCTGCTGTTCAGACTTGGAGGGCTCCTCATCCAGAGGTTTTTGGAAGGGCTGGGAGGGTGAGGAGAGGAGTGGAGGATGAATAGCCACATTTGTTTCCTAGACTGTGCACAAAGGATCCAGTGCAAAACCCGGCTGTCCCAGTTAGACTGTTGACGTTCATAGATTCTTATCTAAGTCCCTTTCTTTGGTGGAAATACCCAACTCTGGATTCTGCAAAAGGGTGCAAAGAGAGTTGGAATGAGGCAGGGCTGATTTATTCTATTTATTTATTCTGTTACTCTGCTGTCAAGCATCCTGCAGCTCACCTGACTAAATGCCGCAGCCCCATCAATTGAAAAAAAATATGGTAATAGAAATTGCACACGCTTTAAAATATATGCAAACAACGAAGAGCCCAGAGAGAGAGGTGTGGGGTGAGGATCCCATTCCAGGACGTGCCAAAGGCTTCTTTTTCTTGCTAACACACTGTAGAACGCCTGGACGTTTCTGTCTGCTAGAGCTAGAGCTAATGTGATTTCTAGCTGTCTAATAAAATTCCACTGCTTGCATGTCCTGTGCAGCTCACCATAATGGGATTTGACTGGTGTGTGCCTTAGCTAAACCAGGCAACCTAACCCCAGATGTAAGGGGTCAGGCTCAATGACAGCTAAGGCCATTTCTGGTCATGCAATTTTGATCTCTGGTCTCATTTGAATAGCTATCAGCTCATGGCTGAAGGCTGGCTAATGTCTGCAGCAGGTAGAAGGCGTTGAAAAAAAGGCCTCTTTTTGACAGGTACCACACAAGGCACCTTACCTACGTTATCCCAAATAGCAAACCTTCTCAGAGTACTCATGTGTGATCCTCCAGTGTTGGGTGCCTCTTAGCATTTGCTTTTATCATAAGTAATAACCACATGGCTTCCTGGTAAACATGGCACTAGAGGCTCACCAGATACTTAAGTCAGAGCGTAATTAGCCCAGGTGACAGACGCATTAACAGCAATGTAATTCTCAAGTGTGTAAACTATTGTTTCCTGCTGTGCACATTAGTTAGCATTTCTTCCTTTGTTGTGACGCAAGACGTACATTATTTCTATTCTTTATAATGATATGACAACGCACCATTACTTGCAGGCTCCCAGAGGAGGTGCCGCCAGGGTCTGACCTGAGGATTTTCTTTTTTAAGATTTTTTTTATTCATTCATAAGAGACACACACACAGAGAGGCAGAGACATAGGCAGAGGGAGAAGTAGGCTCCCTGTGGGGGAGCCTGATGCGGGACTCGATCCCGGGACCCTGGGGATCACACCCTGAGCCAAAGGCAGCCGCTCAACCGCTGAGCCACCCAAGTGTTCCTGACCCGGGGATTTCTAAGCTCTTCTTTTCCTTCCTCCCATCCAGATCTAGTGTTCACCCAAGAGAGTTTTTCAGTCGAAACAACAACAGAAAGAGCTAGTAGTGGATCTCACGGCTGTGTTTGGGTTGCCAAACTGTTTCTCCTATAAAATGCAGAAGATACACAATAATTTAAAAGATTTTTTGCAATGTATATCACAAATAATTGGTTAAATCAGGGAATCCCTGGGTGTCTCAGTGGTTTAGCGCCTGCCTTTGGCCCAGGGCACGATCCTGGAGTCCCAGGATCGAGTCCCACGTCAGGCTCCCGGCATGGAGCCTGCTTCTCCCTCTGCCTGTGTCTCTGCCTCTCTCTCTCTATGTCTATCATGAATAAATAATAAATAAAATCTTTAAAAAATAATTGGTTAAATCAGATTTCGGAGTAATTGCAGAAGCACAAGATAATGAGCAGGGAGCAGGATCCTCCCCTCTCCCTTTCTGCAGCCACCACACCATTCATTCTCCTCCCTGGCATCCCCCAGCAGATAGGGTGGGAAGAGCACAGTTCCAGGAGTCCCTCAGTCCTGGCCTTAAATCCTCATTCTAGTACTTGCTAGTTTGAAGCTTCAGATTTCTCACTGGCAAAGGGGCTTAACTGCATCATGGTAGGGACTGTGGTCAGATTGCTATGAGAACAGTGCCCTCGAACATAGGAGATGCTCAGTAAATATCCTAAGGCCTTGGAGACCCGAGGGCAGGGGGGTGGGCAAAGCTCTGACCCACTGCCCATGAAGGAACAACAGGCAAGGTATTCAGGGAAGCAGTTTGAGGGCAGGTTTCTGACTCTGGGGCATATTTAAAAGCTATAAGATCAGAGGTGACAAAGAGGCAATTTATAGAATAATATCTATATCTAGCTGGGGCTATGAGATTGCTTTCTGCAGAGTTGAGATCTCATCATAGTTTTGCCCCATTTTCTCTCTTTCTCTTTATTCCCCACTCTTCCCCAGTGAACTGTTTCCTAGAAGGATATTCTCTATCTTGTTCGTATCCTGTGGCCCTTAATGCCAGAAACTTCTGTTTGTGGGAGCCTGGGCGTGCCCTCTCTGCTCAGTGCAGACTGAGACCATGTGAGCCCCATGCTTTCACTGGCCCTCGTCTAAAAGCCCTTCATATATTTGAAGACAGTTACTAAATCTCTCCTCTTCAGGGTAAACCATTCAAATCCCTAATCCTTTCTGAAGGAGTAGTTTAGAAATTTAACTCATCTTTGTAGCTCGTTTCTGGACTCTTTTTCAAGTTGCACAGGCAGGCAGACAGACACCATCAAACCTACTTGTCTTTGTTCTGAAATGGTAACGTGTAGACCAAGTGCCTGCCAGTATTACCTCCACATTGAGAGGGCAATTGATGTGCCCAAAGCCAAAAAGGTTGATTACAGGACCCTGTTGGGTCTAGACCTCCAGGCTACAGTCCAGTGCCCTGCTCTAAATCATAGTCTCAATAGTGAGTTT